TTTTCTATCGTTTTAACATACTATGAATGAATTCTCATCGTGACTGTGATAGAATTACAAAATTCTCTTTGTCTCATCGTATTTATTTACCTCCAATGAATGTCGAATTGTACACCATAATGTTTCATTATGTTTTTTTATGGACTTTTAAGCCTAAAATATTAAAATTCTGTCTAAATAATTAGGGAGTTATATTATCACCATGTTCGAGTAATAATATAAATAGAGGCATTTCTCTTTGCCCTGTTTTCTTCCACTTTTATTCATTTTTTTACATAATATTTCATTTAATTCTAGCCAATTGAGCGTAATGCTTTATCAGGTTTTACAATGTGAATATAACATATAGAACACGTTCATTCCAGATATAAATATGTAGTTTAGTATTATTGTCAAGACTGTGGAGTCAGATGGTAGCAGCGATGAATAGTAATTCCTGAGTGAATAAAGTACAACGAAGGTTACTTGTCAAACCGATGTTAAAAATTGTCAATAGCAAAAATTTCGATGATCTGCAAAGTAATCTTCATGAGGTATGAAAAGAGAGTTAATCATATGAAAAATTACAAGATATATGATTGTTTATTTACTCATTCAAATGTCTGAAGGTGTTAAGGGAAGATTCAATAACGGTGTGTAGAGATTAAAATGTAACGTATCCTGGTCCACAAACTGCTAAGAAAAGGGGAGAGAGGAAATTTTATAAAGTTAGTTCCTGTATAAATGCTACAGAAATGCAAGAATTTATGAAGCCAAATGATTTTAAAGAGGAATGGTAGTATATGTATTTACTCTACGACTAAGCAGATTCAGTAGATTTGATATAAAAGTAAATTTAAACGTTGCAAAAGGAAAATATGTTTGTTTTAGAATTAAACAAATTACAGTATGATCAACAAAAATGCATAATTTTCAATCGTGTTACGTATCTGGGAGCTGCAGCAGTGAATGCACCAAAATCATAAAGTGAAATACAACGTAATATGAATATTTTAAATGCCGAACAATATCCTAAACTGGGTATTAAAAATTCAGTCTTTGTACAAAGTAGATCCCAAGGAACTTTTTAGGATAAAAGTTCGATATGCTAAAGATGAAAATTGAAGTGGAAGTTCTTTTTTTAATTACGATATAATAAAACGTACTTTACGATTGATTAAAATACATAATTATCTTGATTTGACTAGTTTATACGATGTTTTCATTTAGCAAATAAATGCCTAATATGAAATATTATTAATTTCAATTTATTCACGTGGAGAAAGTTCCGGACTTTGTCCCGCGTGCTTTACTTTCAGATGGTCTCATTGTAAAAGCGTGGAAACTGCTATTTATCAATATCATGTTTTTAGATGTGATATACCAAGCGCAGTAAGTGTTATATTAAAATCAATTACATTGCTTTTCTCGATTACCACAAAATTCATTATTAATTAATCATTTGTACGCAGGATGGACAAGAGTCAGATTCTTTTTCTAAATCCTTCCTCAGAACACAACGACCAATGACAAATTAATTAACAGTGTTTGACTATAATAATTATGACTCAGGCGATGAAACATTTAATTCTCATGTATTTATTCATGAAATTATCGTGGAAGTAAAGGAGGAAGTTGGCAAAAATGAAGTAGTACAGTTCCTAAGGATAGGAAGTATTTCAAAGGTTGGATTAATTTAGTAACGCATAGTTGTTTGATTATACAACTAGTGTCCAGAAAGCAACGGTGTATAATTATTGTAGACGAAACATTTATTGGTTTTCCTGATAACACTAGACGTGAGGTGAAACATAGCAATATGCGTTAATTTGAAATGGTATACAACTTTAATATGACAATAAATTGATATAAAATTGATATAAATAATTATACGACATCAAACCATTTCTTCTGCCTGTTTATCTACTAAATATTTTTAATAGACATGTATATCGTATTTATAATAGTTGTTGTTGTTACATCAAGTTAGCACTGACTCATCATTCCAGGATCGATTTTACCATATATGTGACCAGGGAGATCCAGCTAACCCAGTTTTGGAAACTCTTAATATAAGGGTATCAAGAGAGGACAAAATTTTCATTAAAATAGCAGTTCATTCAGTTATAAGAAGTACCAGGGAATTAGTTTGATTCGATTCTCCTGTTAAAGTATTTCCACAAATGATAGATTTTGGTACTTTAATAAGAGATATTTAGTACAATAATTTTTCTTATGTCTAAAAACGTAAATTGCTTTTCACATCCAATAGTATTCTTATCATTACACAAATTATTAGCATTACAAATTTTTTAAGACTGACTTATTTAATACAGATAATATCTGGCGATGGAATTTCATTACGACGTACAAGGTATAAAAACATCAGAAGAATTGGTTAGGAGCAGAAAAAATATTGCCCTTTAATGAGCTTCAACAATATGCGTCGTCACATTAAATCTCACGGTGAGAATAAATTCTGGTCTTTAAAATATTATGATATAATATTCAGATTTTATTATAATATAATGTAATAAAATTTCTATAACGTCAAGAATATATATTTTTATTTATGCACCCATAGATGGAAATGAACAAATGTTATGCTGAACAGGAGAGGTATCGAAAGATTTTTCTGCAGATGAATTGCCAAGCCCTGGAGACGTTGGAGGAAATGATAACAGTTCGATTTTTTAATATTACTTACAAAACAAGGAATTCATGGAACATAACGCATAGAGGTATGTCAACTTCTAAGTAATTGATTCAATTCCCAAGAGATGATGTACAAATATGGAACAATGATTACTAGGTTTATCATATTAGAAGAATTTCCCACCATACTCCACCACTTTGCTTTAACCTTGTTAATGAGACATTATGTATGATATATAATGAAATGCGATAATGTTAACGAAACGTATATGAAATAAATTAACAGAAATGTTACTGTGAATGTGTTATATGGAGGGACATAAACGGAATTATTCCAGTGCATGATTTTCTCAAAGGGACCGATGGTTTAGGCCAGGATTCTTTGAGCAAAGTACGTAAAGTTTATGCAGCATTTAAACTAGAAGTTGCATATTGCCAAAGTTTTATTTCTTAAGTTGCTAGTTTATTGTAATTTTTGTAAATAATTAATTGAAGCAACCTAAACATTTTTGCATCATACATATACCATAATATTATCGATTAATTTTATTGCTTGATATAATTTGATATTAATTAACAAAATTTCCGCTTTTGCAAATGCCGGAAACAAACATTTAGCATCCTGATAAGGTGAAAGTACAATTACAGTATACGAGATTAATCTTAAGACAGATATGATAATCTTAACATGTAATTTTATCAATTGAAACGTTAGATAGAAGTTAGTCAAATCATTTTCATACCCAATACCGTGATATAAACATATCTTCTCTAATTATAGTTCATTAATACTTTTCTCTCTTCAGGACCAACTTTCCGAACTTTATATACAATTCTGCATTCTTGGTGTTGAAACAGATATATTTGCAGCACAATGGTTATTGACTCTGTTAACAAACTGATTTCCATTGTATCTTGTACTCCACATTTTAAATGTTTTCCACTTTCAAGGACTCGACATTATCTTCCATGTAACTTTATGTGCATTGTTTATAGTAAGTTGTTCTTCGCTTATACGTCCAGATGATATAATCATTTTTTTATTGCAAATACGATTTTCTTTTGTAATCTATTTATTGTTATCCAAAAAGGAGTTATTACAAATGGATTTTGAAAGAATTTTAAATTAGTTTAAAGTGCATTTACCTTACCGTTGCAGAAATGTAGAAATACCACGTTATCTAATGGAACTAGCCTATTCCGTTACATTAAAGAAATTGGAGACATACGAAGCAGAATTCATAATATTGAAATGTAACTTTATACATTATGCTTGAACGAATTAATTATGTATATAGATATTTATGAATATTTCTACAACACTTTCGAGCAATCATACTTGTTTTACACATTACTACAAAGCCAATATCTGCCAGTATGTATGTCATCTCTGAAAATACTGAATTGTCGTCGCAAATATTAATTAATACACGAGTGAGGAAGAACCGAGATAGAATCAACAAGTAATCACTTTGTACATTCTATAAGTAAACAAGAAAGCCTTTCGTCTGACCTTTTAAACAGTTTTCTTCCAGTTGACAATTCGATCTCGACAATTTGGTACCATTATTATCTAGATGCATCTTCTCAATTCTTCCAAGAGACCAATATAGAAGTGATACATTGTCCTGTTTCAATAGTACAAATGTGCCTGCTATTTTAAGATTTCTAATTCTAAATCTAAATATTTCATTAAGTCCACCCCGATGGATGTTTATGTCATAGGCTTCCGACGCATCGCGTGTATCTTTAATATTACTTTTACATTATATAATGATAAAATATAATGGATATTGTACAGTTTTTGAACTTTTACTGACCATCCTAATTAATGTGTGATGTTTTCTAACTTAAAATAGATTAATATATTGTCTATTAATTGGAATATTAGATCACATTATTTCGAGTATAGTGAGTATAATCTCAGAATATAGAGTACGAACCGATTGTTCCCAATATCTAATACCTTATGCCTACGTATTAAATAATATAGTCTTATTATCTATTAGCGACATCTCTATGACATATTATATAAGGTGTGTCTAAGCAAAATGCTTCCGATCAAAATATATTACTTACGAGGGATAAATATTCATAACTTAGAACATGGATCATAGTGGATCATAAATCCTGAGCCTTCCATTGCAGCAGCACTTTCAACGAAATATCATTTTGGACAGCTATATTTTAGTAATTATAACGGAGGTGGGATGGAAGATTTTTTGATTGGAGTGGAAGAAGATTAATGTAAACGTTAGGCCAATCAGTGACGATGGTGCGATCGTTTCCTATTTATGGCATTTCATACACGTCAGGTGGATGAAGCTTGTGAGCTCGACATCGAAGAAGCATCACAGTAACTTGGCCGCCATTTGTTCAATCATTTCGACTAAATTTCGTCGTTGTTATTTGTGAACATCCTAATTGTAAATTTGTACTGAACAATATTCTAGTTTTATTTCTTATATTTTATCTCTATGGAAAGTATATATATAATAGTATTGTAGCAAAAAAACAAAAAATTTGAAAGTAGAGCGTACCGTATCGAATAAAATCTAAAACATGATGGATACCTATACACTTCGAGATTACGACATAGGTGATAAAATAAGATATTCTTTGCCAGCTTACATACAAAGGTATGAAGCAGTGATCGAAGTACCTTGCAGTGATAAATACGGTGGCAAGATACAAAAGGTTCGGTATCACATTAATATTCTTTTTCATAGTTGTACATTTTATTTGTTTAACATTAATTCTGGTTCGTGTAGATCTCGAAAGATCTCAAAAGATCATCCTTTTAGATAGATATTATATAAATTCAATCAAATTTATCGTATTATACATTTTTTTCTAATTACCTGTTTCCATATTGTTCCTATAGATTATTGATTTTGGCTGTGGAAATCTTGGTTTTTTGGATTCCCTGAAACGTATCTCCGATGTAAAAAGAAATATTGTGCGTAGATATTGATAGATGTATTCTCGAAAATAACAAGCTCAAAGCCAAGCCGTTTGTTCATGATTTTGTACATTTAAGAAAAGGCCCACTACAGATACATGTTTACGAAGGAAGCGTTTCTAGCAATGACAAAAAATTGCAAAAAGCCGATGTAGTGATATGTATGGAAATGTGAGTTATTACCAAAGATAATTATCTATTGATAATATATTTGCAACGAACTCTAATAATTGAAATTTTTTAGGATTGAACACTTAGATTCGAATGCATTAAAGGATTTTCCATTTAACATCTTTGGTTATATCAAACCAAAATTAGAAATTGTAACAATGCCAAATGCAGAATGTAATGAATTATTTCCTCATTTCTCCGGATTCCGGCATCCAGAAAGAAAGGTTGAATGGTCTAGAGAACAATTTCAGGCCTGGTATATTTTTTACACATTTCAGTTTCTTGTATATAAAAGTATACGTATATGTATAAATCCACACATACGTACATACTTACGTATATACGCGCACGTTAATATAGTTACTTTCTAATGAATTACATTCATTTGTAGGGTGGAGAAAATAATTATAAGTTTTCCTGATTATCATGTATCGTTCCGTGGCATTTGTAATGGACCAGGAGGTACGGAACGTATAGGTGCTCGCACGCAAATGACTGTTTTTCATCGCAATAACGACGAGAACTGTTCAGAATCATTAGGAATTGATAATATATATAAATTCGTAACTTCGAATAATTTTCCATTTATAATTGACAAACGTTCGGACACAGAAAAGATTTTGGACGAAGTTTTCTACCATCTTGAAGAATCACAAAATTTAGATAATATTCGAGGGGAAATGTCGCTTGAATCTTTAGTATCGAACTTGAGAAAATTTAATATTACAATGGAATCACTGAAAACAATTCTGGACGAAGCAGGATTAACCATAATTGATTACGAAGATGGTCCTGCTACATGTATTCCAGTGCAAACACGTACTGTACGTGAAAGGCATAAAGATTATGAAATATGTTTGGGTTACGATGGATATATAGTGGATGAAATTAAGTGAGATTCTGATGACTGTGACGAAGAAGATTGTTATACCTGAGAGAAATTCTTCCCCAGAAAGTGACATTACTTATCTGTTTGGTAGTGAAAATAATTCACCGAGTGATAATAATCTTTCTGACAGGATAAACATCCCTGAATCTGTTGCTGATCCAATTAATTCCGTTTTATAATATAATTAAGTCTCGTCATGATTAATGGGATTAATTTTTATATGTTATCAGAAGTTGATACAGCCAACATTTCAAACGAAGTCAATAATACACTTATAAGGTGAACTGAAATGCTAATATAACATTTGATTTCTACCATTCTGTAACAGTATTATTCTCTTCGACATAGCCTCAACAGCTATTCGTTCATTTGTTTCAATTGAAATTCTCCTAAGGCGATGATACATCAACAGATAAAAACATGCTATATCCATTATTGTTGATTAACAGTTTCATCCCTCATACACATTGAGAAATGAATCTGTTAATCTGGAAGGAGCAAGTAATAGAGAACTGAAGCAAGTAATTGCAGATTATTTATTAGAATGATCATATAGTTGCAGAAGATCTGCGTCAATTATAAATCAGACACAACTCACAAATTCATCACGAATACTTAGAAATCCTAAAAAGATGCGTTCTAAACACAAATCGTTAAGGCCTGAAAATATAAGCAACTACAATATATCAAAGACATTTTGATTGGGCGATAAACCGATGCTGTCAACTAACGGCGTAAGACATATTAGTCGAAATTCTATATACGATTCTAATAATACTTAACGTCTCGAATCCATCAAGTATATCAACGATGTTCATTATATAACTGTCCGTTACAAAGAGTGATACATTTGAAGAGAACCATATTATTGAAAACGTACTTACAATAATGAGAATGATATAATAGAAAATGTCATTGAATAAAATAATATGTGTTTACTTCCCGTGTGCCGAAGAATATTATGATATTATATGACAATTTTTAGAAGAAGAAAATATAAAAGATATACAATCTGAAACATATTTAGTAAAGATCATTGACAGATGGAAGATTTATTCAATAAATATCAATCCAGTTTGTTTAACATGTCTAGGTAGCACTGTTGAAATATTACCAGATACTCCTGAGTCCTTAGATATATCTCCAAATAGCTGGATATCAAAAATTATAGATACTGGCAATCCCTATTCGAACCACCGATAGGGACATCGGAATATGATTTATCTAGTATAGTGCGTAATAAATTCGCCAAGGGTAGCTCACGCACCACTGTTCGAATATTCAGAACCGACGTTAATAGAAAATGTTGATCTTGCAAATAATAGTGATTTTATTAATGATATGAAATGAATGGAAAAATACATTTTGTAAGTCTGAAACTACATACCTTTTCATTTCCATTATTGCCTATCAATTGATTTCATTATTATCTTTGCCAATTAAACAATGTAACAATTTTATAGAATTATAATAAGTGTTTATGTCATTATATTTACAATAATCCTTCCATGTATTCTATACATTAAAAAATTAATGGCCTGTTAAGAGTGCTTCATTAAAATGTTCATTTTTATCAAAAATGTGAAATTTATTTCAATAATTTTGCTATAATATTACAATGTTCACAGTAATAAAGTAAACGCTTATATACATGAATATGAGTACGTATAACGTATGTATAAGTGCACGTAGTTAAGTAAAGATACACATATGTGTATATATATATATATATTTATTTATATACACACACGCAAACACATACTATAAATATATATGTACATGGTTATGTGTGTATGTGTGTGTGACTGCGTGCTCGTTTGTTTGTATGTGTATATTTATTTATACGTTTATTCATTTCTATATACTTAACAAATACCGTGCTATAGATGTATTTTCTGTAATTATAATTTATAAATACTTTTCTCTCTTCAGGACCAACTTTCCGAACTTTATATACATTTCTGCATTCTTGGTGTTGAAACAGATATATTTGCAGCACAATGGTTATTGACTCTGTTTACAACGTGATTTCCATTGTATCTTGTATTCCACATTTTAAATGTTTTCCACTTTCAAGGACTCGACATTCTCTTCCATGTAACTTTATGTGCATTGTTTATAGTAAGTTGTTCTTCGCTTATACGTCTAGGTAAAATAATCATTTTATTATTGTAAATACGATTTTCTTTTGTAATCAATTTACTGTTATCCAAAAAGGAGTTATTACAAATAGATATTGAAAGAATTTTAGATTAGTTTAAAGTGCATTTACCTAACCGTTGCAGAAATGTAGAAATACCACGTTATCTAATAGAACTGGCCTATTCCGTTACATTAAAGAAATTGGAGACATACGAAGCAGAATTCATAATATTGCAATATAACTTTATACATTATGCTTTAACGAATTAATTATGTGTATAGATATTTATGAATATTTCTACAACCCTTTCGAGCAATCATACTTGTTTTATACATTACTATAAAGCCAATATCTGTTAGTGTGTTTTTCCTCTATGAATGAATAAAGGATTGTCTGTTGGATAGGGTTGAAATGTACAAATAATTTCTATAACATTGCACTTAATTAATGAAGACAATTTTTCATGAAATTTGTCAGACAATATTTGTGACGTGATAAATATTAATTAATGACCTCCTACCAACGTATAGAATTAGAATATAAATTTAATGTTATATTTTTTTTCAAATATAACGTATAACGCATGTAGCACGTAATCGTGTAATATCATATTAGATGTTATAGAGATTCTACTGATTCAATTGATATATTTTCTGTGCATGTGTGGGAGTTTATCCGTACATTTATGGTCGTCGGTGCGCGTAAGCATATGTTGTACGCGGTTTAGGTAATGTATTAAAATGATAGTTATGGTTTTATTCACGTAATAATATATTTTGTATAAGATAAAATTTTATTTAAACTCTATCTATATCCCATATATATATTAAAAAACAATTTATGTTACTTTAATATCTTCAATATTATTCCCTTTACTTAGGCTACTTAAATTATTCTATAAATTAATTATTAAATAATTATTATACAAAGTAAAATTATATAAATATAAATATATTTAATTCTATATATTTATTTAATATTATTAAATGAAATAAATTTTTAATAAACCTTTTCTTTATTCTATAAACAAATATATACTCTGAAATACCTTTATCAAAAATCGTATATATAAATATAGAAAACATTATAGGATAAAATCTAATTTTTATATTAATTAAATTTAGTCCTCATATCCTAGAAAAATAGATCTTTTTATAATTACTTAAATTAAATATATCAATAAATCTTAAAAATCATCCTAAAATATAACCAATACTACAAATTTGTTTAACTATTAATTTTTTAAATAATCTTAGAATAAGTAAAGTAAAATTTATTAAATTAATTAGAAAATACCCAATTATTAAAGAATAAAAATATAAAACAATCAATGATACTCTTATTCACAATCTTTCTCTAACTATATTAAAATAAATTGTTTTATTTACATAACTTAAATACACTAAAATAACTAATCGAACTCTATAAGAAACCGTAAATAAAGTATAAATTATTAATATTAATATTCTTAAGATATCTATTTTACTTATTAAAAAAATTTCTATGATTAAATCCTTAGAATAATACCCAGAAAAAAAGAAAACTCACATAATGATAATAAAGAAACAAAAAATACAAGACTAATAAAAAGATAATAACTAATTGATCTCCCCATATAACGAATATCCTGATTATTATTTATTTGATGAATTAAAATACCACTACATATAAATAATAAAGACTTAAATAATGCATGAATTACTAAATGTATAAAACCTAACTCTACTTCAGCTAATCTCAAAATACTCGTTATCAAACCTAATTGTCTTAAAGTAGATAACCCAATAATCTTTTTCAAAACATCCTCAAAATTAGCTATTAATCCACATATCATTATTATACACCTAGAAACAATTAATATTAAACCTGTTAAATAATTATCAATTAAATAATTATTATAACGTATTAATAAATAAACGCCTGCTGTTACTAAAGTTGAAGATTGAACCAAAGAAGATACAAGGGTAGGAACAGTTGTAGCCAAAGGTAATCAAGAAGGAAATGGTAACTGAGCTCTTTTAGTAAATGCTCTTAACATTATTAATAAAGAAAAATAAAAAAATTATATCTATAAAAAATTCTATTTCATGATCCTAAAATAACTATTAAACTAATTATCATCAAAATACCAACATCACCAATTCTATAATTCTACAATTACTAATATAAAAATCGATTAATATTCATATCACCCTCTATATATCTTAATCTACATAATATTACAAACCTAGAAATTATTATAACTAAGCTAAAAAATATTATAGACACCCAATCTACATAAAAAATAAATTCTATATTTATCGAATTAACTCTTATGAATACTCAATCTATCAATAACCGTCATCCGGGTGGCCCTTGAGAAGGGCAGAATAAACGTGGGGTGGTCATCAGTGAGGGTGTATGAACGCAGGCAGCGGTTCCTCAGGTCCCACCGGTGCCTTGCGCGAAGACATGTTAAGTCAATATGCCCGGCTACAAGCCCTAGTATAGACCTATGCTACATCTTTGTGAAGACGAGCCACTTGGCCAAGACGTGCACGGATAAACCTGAGTGTCCGGTTTGGGCGAGTCCAATCATGGTTGTGATACGGGAAGGATGCATCGCCGAGCTTACCCCGTTTATGTAAAAATTCTCCAGTCCACGCCGCTTGCCGGTGAAAGGTTCATAACCAAATAGTTATTCAAATTGCAGGGACCTAAAAGTTATATAAGTCAGTATTGGTGATCGTTTAGTAAGTGCATAATTAATGGAAAGTGTGCTACTTTACTTCGCGGAGGTTATTTGCGATTACTCGGAAGTGTATGTCATTCATTCTTTATGGACGAATATGGAGCCACCTGGCGATCTAAGCTTCAAAACGGATCTGGCTTTGCAACTCACGCTGCGCTGCATAGGCGGGGGGACTGGACAAGAAAAATTGTAGTGGTACGAGTGCACATTATTCATTAACCGATTATACGCACACATGCTTCCTCCTACCCTTAAAAACTAGAAGCGTGGGAAACGTACTTAAACCAGTCATGGCTTTACAGTCCTTGTCACCCGCGAAAAGTAATTAAATTTTCCGTTATCCGAAATTCGAATTTTCA